GAAGAACATAGACTAAATTCTTGGCAGTCAGTCCTTTAAATAGCCGACATCGGAAAATATCCTCACGTTCACGAAGAGGCATCACTGTTGCTTTAAATTTTACCCATTAACGAGGACGAAAGGGAAAAATGCTTTTGATTTCTTTCAATGAGAAGTGTGACGTACAATTCCTTTATTGCGTGTCTTGACTGCCTCGCAGTCCTAGCCATCCGTCTCAATCCCTACAAAAAAGGGCTCGTGGTACTTTCCCATCAAACTGAACTAATCTCAAGAAGAAAAAAAATTATAGGCTGTTAAAGTAAAAGATCTGCTTGACTGCCTACATTGGCGAGTCCAGTCTGGGGAAGGTGTTTAAAGCATTTGGCGCCAGGATGAAGGGCAATAGCCTATCGTCTCGAAATTTTACGTTGTTTTTCAATTAGTTTCCTTATGAAAGTAAAGAGGGCGTTTACCTGCATGATTTGATACAATCAGCTCGAGGGTCATAGATGTGTGACGCCGTTAATGAGGTCCAAATAAAGATTAAAGCTTGTGCAAAGTCGACTTGGATTTGCGTAGCTTGCAAAAATATCTAGCAATAGACATAACTGACTTTCTATTCTTGCTCATATCTTAAAGAATGAACGGGTATTTTGGAGCATCAGGAGAGAGGAAATGGTCATTTTGCGGCAAACGAGGTAAAGCTGCAGGAGCAAAAGGCCATTCTGAAGTATCACCTGTTCAAAGATCTCAAGATGGAAATAAAGAGCTACAGATTGCTGATAAAAAAACCCTTTTGGTGCTCTCTTTACCCCACCAGGTGCAGTTTTGCAACTTGTTTAATAGTCTATCCTCGACCTTCGGTCCAATTAGTCTGATTCGTTTTTCTTGACAAAACAAAAAGAGGCTACTTCTATTTACCTACCTAGCAGATTCTTGACAGCACTTGAGTTTCTTTTTTAGGATCTCTGAAATAACCTTTTTAGTTTCTTTTTCTTGTTGATTCCTTCTCCAGCGTGAGATAGATGTGAGTTTCTCCT